TGTGTTTATTTTCCATAAGTGTGAATCGCCTGATCCGGACTCGTGCATGAGGTGCACTGCGCTAATAGACGCATATGTGCCGTACCGAAAACGCTGGCCTAGCTTCAGTCTTCGGTTCCAAGGCTTGGTCCGTATTCTTAGGATTTTTATTGGCATATTATTTCGGTAGGGTATGTCTTTGGATGTCAGAGCGGTTTTTAGGTCCCGCCAATTGGAATTATACCAGAGGTGTACTACTTGAAGACGGTGCTACTGCAGTCCGTCCGCCAACGATGGCAACATCTGACGGCAATGCATGAGTCTTATTCATCGGACCGTGGTCTGGCATATCCACCGACATCGTCAGCAAGATATGTTTGGTCCTAATAAGTGTGAATCGCATGATCCGGACTCGTGTGTAAGGTGCACTACGCTAATAGACGTATATGTGCCGTAACGAAAACGCTGGCCTTGCTTCAGTCTTCGTTTCCCGGGGCTTGATCCGTTTCCTTAGGGTGGCTGTTGGCATAATATCTCGGCAGAGTATGTCTCTTGATGTCAGAGCGATTTCGAGCCTTGCTCGTTGGAATTGTGCAAGAGGTGCACTACTTTAAGAGGGTGCTACGACAGTCCCTCTGCACGGCATGATTGCAGCATCTCACGGCAATGCATGAGTCTTATTCATCGGACCGAAGTCTTACAGTTCCATCGACATTGTCAGCACGACGTGTTCAGTTCTAAGGGTGTGAATCGCATTATCCGGACTTGTGTGTGAGGTGCACTACGCTAACAGACGTATATGTACCGTGCCGAAAACGCTGGCCTTGCTTCAGTCTTCGTTTCCCGAGGCTTGATCCGTTTCCTTAGGGTGGCTGTTGGCATATTATCTCGGCAGAGAATGTCTCTGGATGTCAGAGCGATTTCAAGCCTTGCTCGTTGGAATTGTACAGGAGGTGCACTTCTTTAAGAGGGTACTACGACAGTCCCTCTGCACATGATGGCAGCATGTCACGGCAACGGAGTAGTCATATTAATTGAACCCAAGTGTTGTAGTTTAAGCGACAATGTCGTCACGATGTGTTTGGTCCTAATAAGTGTGAATCACATTATCCGGACTCGTGTATGAGATGCACTGCGCTAATAGACGTCAATGTACCGTACCGAAAACGTTGGCTTGGCTTCGGTGTTTGGTTCCCGTGGCTTGGTCCGTTTTTTAAGACTGCTGGAAATGCTTCAGTTCCGCCGACATTGTTGGGTTTTTCTCTGGGCCGTCTGTTTGGAAATATCAATTCGAGACACGAATGTGAAGAACTGGGATACTTTTCTTGATTGCGCGAATGTACGTAATTTGGTGCTTATGTTGCCCTTTTAGTACATGCTATAAATCGTCGGCTGCCCGCGTGTTAAAAATCATATGACCTGTTTGTGGCCGAAATTATTATATTATCAGATGGTTATTTCTTGAAGATGATAGGCAATCATGCGAGCATTGTGAGTAGCAGTGGTCGAAACGACGTAGTGAATAATGTTAAATGCCTGCTCATTATTTTTGGTGCTAAAGATGTCGTTTGGATTGTGTGATTTCAAAGTCGGGCAATCCTGCTAACGCGAGCTGGTTGAGCCCGTGCCGCACTGCGCGTAAAACGCTCGCGGTGGAGATTTTTCTTCTTCTAAAAAAGGTGAAGTACTTGAAGAATACCCAAAAATCGACCCAAAAATCAGGCTTAGCTTTTTACTACCAGAGTCACTAGTTGCTATTCACGACCTTCACTACTGTCGACGTTCTATGACCCTGTTCAAGCAGCCTTTTAAATGGGATGAGGGAATGAATTCAGCCATGTTTTGCCTGGCTATAGTGTTCTGCATGGCGAATAAATTGCAGACGAGTGCCGTGTTTGGCCTCAGTGGGCCTGTTAGATGGCGATAAGTCACAAAACAATTCACACACAGTGTATTTCGTGGGCATGCCTCCTGCTCAAGTACACAACCTGACTACAATCTCTTTAAGGCCATTACGAGATCACGGCAGTCAATAATTGACAGACACTGGACTGTCCATACCGGTGTTGGTACAGGTGTTGGGGATGGCGGCTGGCTCACGTGCAGTAGTTGACTCGGCGTCACCCTGATCTCCAGCCGTGGTGAACTCTTCTAGGTCAGCACTGCCGGTGGGCTGCCGCCGCTCCGACGCCGGCTGCAGACTGGAGAAGTCTGCCTGCCTGCCGTTGGTACTGGCGGGAGACGTCCCAGGTTCATTCAGGATGCAATCGATGGTGAAGCTCCGGTAAGCTCAAGATCGTCGCGAGGTGTCCGCCGACACCACCTGCCGTCCCCGAGAAGCATTCATTGCTTCGGTCCACTTACGGCGGGAGCAAACCGCACATGCGCTGCAATAACCACACATCCGGCGCTGAACACAGTGAGGGGGCAACGCTAGCGGCGCTCGGATCGGGCGATCCGGTAAGCTGGCATGTGATTGGTTGTCGGAGCAGTAACTCCGCCCTCTGTTAGGTTCTTCGCCTGGAGCTAGGGAGCCCAAAGGTCAGAGTTCATCGGCACTGAAGCAGACACATCTACCTTCACGGGACCGAGTCGAAATTCCACGCGCGATGAGTGGCACTGAGGCGGCGTCCCTTATACTGATGTCCGCATCCTGCAGGCTTCTTCTGACTGGTACACCGATGAGATTGGCGGCAAGCGTTCTGCCTGTCGTGAAAGGCTGAATTAAGTGGTCTGAGCAGATGCTTCGAAGGGCTGAATATGTCTCGAACTGTACAATCTGTAGGGCAGAGCGCGAGCTGAGTATCTCGCGGCGCAGACCTGTCGGTGACTCGCACTCCTCGCTAAGAAGGCTGACGATAGAGCTGGTGCGAAATGCCCCGGCTGCAACACGCATGTCGTTGTCGGGCGCTGTGTCCAAGCCGGTGCGTTCTGCAGTCGTGCGCAGGATCGAACGCCTGACATCCATACCCTACACAGGACCAACCTAGATAATGTCGCGCTGAAACGATGCTGACGTGCATGCAGCAGCCTATAGCTGAGACCGGGTCCGATTTCATATGGGTGCCTTAACAGCCCTGTGGCATACACTCTGTGTCATGTGTAGATCACGTCACGATGCAGTTAACATATGTGTGCATCACGTCACGATGCAGTTAACATATGTGTGCATCACGTCACGATGCAGTTAACATACGTGTGCATCACATCACGATGCAGGCGGGTCGGTTCTTCCGTGTGTATTGCGTCATGAGTGACGCTTCTCAATCAAAATCCACTCAGATCTCAGTCGATTTACACAAGAGCACATTCTGTGTATGCCCACCACATAGTGGATTTAGGCAGAGGTGCGGCTCTGAGTAGCACTTCTGAGTAGCAGCAGCACTCATCTGTAGATATAAACGCTTCCCTCGCAACATACACATTTGCAGATGTGCGTGCGCGTGTGCGTGTGTGTGTGTGTGTGTGTGTGTGTGTGTGTGTGTGTGTGTGTGTGTGTGTGTGTGTGTGTGTGTGTGTGTGTGTGTGTGTGTGTGTGTGTGTGTGTGTGTGTGCGCATGTGGGTGTGAGCAAGGGATCTGGGCAGTGGAAAATATCGAAACATACCTCCAAAGTACGCCAACAAACAGGTTTCTCACCAGAATTCGAACAATTTCTTCTCAAAGTTGAGGGAGTCCTCCCCCCTACTGAGCAGGAAACTACACTTCCGCCTTCGGGCTAAATTACCCAGGTCCCACATCTGACATTGTTCTGGTAGCACCACCTACGAGATTACGTCCCCCGTAGTTGTTTCACTTCACTTCCTCTCCCATGTTTACGACGTTTTGCATTCGTCTCCCCCTGGTTTCGCCTGTAAAAGTGCGTTTTCTGCGTTTCCGCCTCACGTCATCTTTATGTCAGCCCTCCGGCATATCTAGTTTTGACCCCCACAACACTGAGTTCCCCCCCCCCCCACCCCTCCAACTCAGAGACGTGGACCTCGAGTGACACGCATTCGGTCACCGATGGGTTCGGCGTGTGTCGGCGATAGCGCGCGTTTCCTCAGCTGGAAGCCTTCGCGGGGTTTTGTCACCTACTGTGCCAGTGCGTCGTCTTCGCGACACCCAGGCGCCGCACACGTTACACTTTCACCACTTTGATGCTTACCACACTTCAAATGAGTGATCCCAAGACATTACTGACCCAGCTCACTGACCAACTCGGGCGTGACGGAGGGCGGGCCTAACGCACGTCAATCAACGCCAAGATGATATCCGATGGCTTGACAATAACAACCGGCATCCATAGACAGTGCGGTATATTTACAATCAATCGCCAGCTCGCGGAGGGGCCAGGCCACGATGAGTCGACACGAATCCAGATGAAATCGATGAAAGCAAGAATGAACGGCAACTCCGCGACGTCACACCGCACCGGCCAAAGTCAAACCAAGAAACCGAACAGTCCGGCCGGCGCGGGCCCAACGACGGCCAGCCGTCCGCGGTGCCGCCTGGAGGCGTGGCGCCCGCTGTCGGCGGGACCGCGGGCGAGCGCCCGTGATCCCCGGCGTCCGCGCGCCAGAGCGACGCTCTCAGCGGCCGACGCTAGCAGGTGACGCGCAGCCGCTGCCACAGTCACATTAGTGAATGAGCGACGCCGCTTTGCGCCAGGCTGGCCGCAAATGGGAATTAACCACATGATCGGGCGCAGTCGCACGGGACGCCGCACGGCCGCGCTGCCACTTGCGCCAGACCTGGACACTACCGACACCACAACTAGCTGAGTAGTCCCGACAACGAGATGTTGGGCCGCTGCCTCATGTTGCCGGGAGACATTGGGACGATAAGAGCAGCGAATTATGACGCGTCTCGGCGACACGACTGCACGTGGCGTTATGGCGAGACGACCGCTGCCGGCGGACCGGTCGGCCAGCGAGCCACAAATAAATACACCTGCGCGCGAGGGCGAGTGGACAGAACAGAGTCACCGCTAAGATATCACATGACAGAATCACTGGAGGAGCAGGCAGCGCGGCGCGGCGCCTACGGCTCGGCCGCATCCTCGTCCTTGCCCGAGACCGTGTTGCGGAACGCGCTGCGCTTCTCGTGCGCCGAGCGCTTGCCGGCGTCGGCCGGCGGCGGTGGCGGCGGCGGCTCTTCCGGATCGGGCCGGGCGGCGGCGCCCGTCCGGCGGCGAACGCTGCCCTCCCGACGCCGGCCGCGCTCCTTGCTGGGCCGTCGCTCGCCGGCAGCGGCGCCGCCGCCGCCGCCGCCGTCGGCAGCGGGCCGCACCGTCACCGTCGACACGTATACAAGCGGCTCGGCGGCGCGCGCCGGCGGCGGGCGCGCGGCGGCGTCGGGCGCGGCGGCTGGCGCCGGCGGTGTGGCCGGCCGGCGCGGCGTGCCCGGCCGCCGGTGGTGGCGGCAGTGCGGCTGCACGCGCACCCGGCGCCCGGCCAGCTCGGGGCTGGCGCCGCCGTCCGACGAGGTGAGCGCGCCGTCGGCCGTCGGCGGCGGCGACTGAGCCGTAACGGTGACGCGCGGCGGCGGCGACGAGACGAGCGGCGAGATGGACGGCCGCCCGTCCGAGCGGTGCAGCCGGTCCGGCGAGAGCGCGCGCCGCAACAGCGGGCTGCCCGGCTCGGCCGACTTGGGCCGCATGTACGCCTTGGCGGCGGCCGTCGGCGCCAGGCTGGCCGCGCCCGGGCTGTACGACTGCACGGCGCTGGTGGGCGGGGCCGGCGCGTGCGCGGTGGGGAAGGCCAGCGGGCTGGGTGAGCGCGTCGGCGACACGGGCAGCGGGCTGGGCGACGGCGTGCGCGCCAGCGGGCTCAACGGTATGTGGCCGACCGACTTGCGGCGGCTGGCCGCGTGCGCCGACTTGGTGGCCGCGTGCAGCTTGTGCTTGAGCCCGTGAAGGGAGGAGGGGCGCGGCTGGAACTGGGCTGCCGCCACGGCCGCCGCCGCCGGCGAGTTGGGCACCGAGGACGACGGCGACGACGAATTGGACGAGTCTGACTGGCTGAGTTTGTGGGCGGCGGCGCGCGCCGAGCCGGGCTCGCACGACACGGACCGGTTCAGTGACGAGAAGCTGCGGCTGGGCGTCAGCATTGGCGAGTTGGCCGTCATCTGCCGGAGGAGACGGCCGGCGGTCAGCGTCTCGCCCGCCAGCCACACACAGCAGGCCGAGCTGGGCCCAAAATAGGGACGAGCCACAGCAACCTGGTCCGAAATAGCCATAAATGAGGACAACAACCGCACGTTTGACCATTATGCGTGCTGCGAATTTACTGGTCTGATCATTAGACGCTCGGTGCTTCGTCTGCACCCACGTTTGTATGAATACAGAAGCAGCGTGTCGAAATTTATCGGGAAAAATAGCCAATGCTTAGTTTGCTATGATTTTTTAAAAAACGTGCAAACAGCAACACCTATTACCTGAATTTACACACCCACACACGCACACACACCCACACACGCACACACCCACCCACATCCACACCCACACCCACATATATATATATATATATATATATATATATATATATATATATATATATATACGGTACAAACGCGGGTACAAACAAGTACTGAGGTTCTAACGATCAGATTAGTAGACTCACAACACACATAGTGGACAAAGATGTAGCTCTGTATCACGGGTGAAACCACATGCACGGAACATAAGGACAACTTCCGATAACACTATATAATGGGCCTCTACAAAATGTCAAAGATCAACTCACGCCTTCAATTAGATACCAACGGCAACGACCACCCCACAACATGTCCGCTGCCAATCCACAATAGCCAAAGGCGCTAGCATCGCTAGCATTCTTGAAGTGAACATTTCACCCCACTTTGAGTTTGAAGTTCTTTTGAAGTTTTGAGTTTGAGTTTGAAGTTTGAGTTTGAAGTGTACCCCCTTTGACAAGCACTCCTCCATCATGAGGGTTCCCTTGTCACTCTTGAAGATGAGCGCAGCTCGAAATATTTATTATGTCCAAAGTAATCGTTGCTTAGCACTATTGAGTCGTTTAACTAGTGCCTCCTGGTAAATTAAAAGTTGTTACCTCAGCGTAAGAACTTTAATCTCATCAAACCGACAAACCAAAAGTTGTGGGCCTTTCTTTCTTATATCGAGTAAAATTCACTATGCATATAACCATTCGCCACTGACGAGGCCGCGACCGCCTGAGCCGCCATGCCGGACATGGCAGGGGCCGCTGGCGCCGGCCGCCAGCCGCCACTCACCTGTTGGATCTCGGCACTGGCCCGCTTGCTGCTCAGCTTGCGCAGCAGCGACGCCTTGCGGCGCTTGTCGACGGTCGACTCCTTGCGCTTGCGGCGGCCGGCGGCGCGGCGCGCCAGCTTGCCGACGCCGGGCGCGCGCCGCCGGCCGCCGCTCGAGATGGACGTCTGATCGAGCGGCGTGGCGCGCAGCGTCACCCGGTCGCCGCCCGACAGCAGTAGCTGTAGCACCTGCGTGTGGAACAGGCCCTGCACCGGCTCGTCGTTGATGTGCGTGATCAGATCTCCCGGACGCAGGCCGGCGTCGAACGCCGGGCTGCCGGCGTCCACCGTCTGCAACGGACGATCGGGCGCTGGTCAGACACTCCGGCGGTTACACGCTTCCGCACTGGTCGCAGGGCAAACAGCACGGGCGCTGGCACACACGCAGAGTGGGCAGACGCCAGGCGCCAGCCAACACAGCGGCCGTTCACAAGCTACGAGCCTCCCAGCCGCCCGGTGCGGGCTGCGTTGTACAAAAGACAGCACCTCTGCAGCCAGCTGCCGCCGCGAAGCAGGGGGCTACATTACTGTCGTCAAAATGTGACCATTTCCAGCAGCAACCGCCGGCAATGGTGTGCAAACTCGTCCATATCACAGCACAGAGTAAAGCCAGTGATGCCTCTCCACTGCTCATGGCCGGCGCCACGCCCGCCCCCGCGGAGGGAGAGCCGCGACCGACGCACCATGACCAGGTGGTGGACGGTGTAGTAGTCCGAGTCGCCCAGGTAGACGCGGATGGCGCGGATGGTGAAGCCGAAGCCGCGCGCGCCGCGCCGCAGGATCACCGGCGGCTTCAGGTTGTTGAGCAGCGGCGAGAGCTCGCGGCAGGGCGACGCGTCGCGCGAGGAGGCCGTCGACGAACCGCCCGGCGACTGGATCGGCTGGGGCGACGCGTCGTCTGCCGGCGCGCGGTCAGAGGGCGTCACGCTCACTCACAGACAGCGACGGCACGTGCGCACGAGTCGGTGTGGTGGACAGACGGCAGAGGACAGGCAGAGAGACAGAGGACGGATCGACAGAGGACAGAGAGGTGCACAGGTCGGAGGGGAGACGGTGCGGAGTGCTACAGGGCCGGCTCGCAACCCCATGTAAACGCGCCTGCACGCAAAGCCGTCCAGACCACAGACTCGACACAGGCGTGAGCTAGGCAAGGCCGCGCGCCGCCCACACTCACCGGGCGGGATCATCAGATTGAGGCCGGACGCCGAGGCCGACTTGATGACGCGGTTCATGGGCGAGGACGCCTTGGGTCGCGCTCCCGCCGGCAGCGGCGGCGCGCCGCCCGGCGTGCGGATGATCGGCGGTGGCGCCGCCGCCGGCGAGCGCGGTCCGGCCACCTCCACCGTCGGCGAGTTGCGCGGCGGCGACTTCTCCGACTCCTCGACCGGGGACAGCTCGCGGATGTGATCGGCGCCACCCGACCTGGTCACAGGGAGGCGAGCGATCAACGCGGCGGGTACGGACGAGACAAACGCACGTGGCACACACTGCTGACTGAAACGAAATTCTGGGTCATGACAGGTGGAGGGTGAAAATGAAATGAAACATCTAGGTGACTCCAGATTATTTAAGTAACACGCAGTGTGACATTTGATCAGCCCGTCACTTTGAGTAGAACAGCAGGATAAACTGAAATGTAGTTAGCAAACAGTGATGCAAAGCGATTAGGACGGACATCGCACTGAACACTCCAATACACCAATTGCTCTACGACAGCAACACACGTGCAGATACATCAACAGAGGCACAACACCTGGTCCTCGGGGAGGGCAGCACCAGCGCCACACCGGCAGCGCCACCTACCCGAGCTCGGCGTCGACTGAGACCGACGGCCGGAGCGGGCGCGGCTCGCGGTGGCGGCGGCGCCGCTGCACCTGCGGCGACACGTCCTCGCTCTCCGTCTGCGAGCTGTCGGGCGTCGAGAGCGAGCCGCGCGTAGCGCAGGAGCCCGAGCCGGAGCCGGACAGCCGCAGCGGCCTGCCGCCCGTGCACACCGGCATGCTCAGAGCGGCGCCGACACGCACAAACTCACAGGCACACGCACAAAAGCACGCAAAACAACAGCAAAACAACGACAGCGAAACGACAGCAAAACGGCTACAGCGACGAGCAAAAAGAAAACGACCACAGCCGACTAGAGGCGACCAGTGAAGCGGGTGACCGGTTCGCGCGGCCGGCCGGCCGGGACAGCGTCAGGGTTCGGCCGGCTGGCGTCAGCGGCGTCAGCGGCGCCGGCGGACAAGCGTGCGGGGCCGGCCAGCGGGGCGGCGGTGGCACTCACACGTCGGGCAGGCTGCTGACGTGCTGGATACGCGTCAGATGTCGGCTCGAGTCAGCCGCCTCGACGCTGCCGGCCGCCGAAGACTCGCTCTGGTCGGACTGGCCCGAGTCGCCCTGCGACATCGACTTGCGGAGGTCCAGCCTGCCCTGCGACTGCCGGCCCAGACGCGACGCGTGACCCACAGAACACGCGTACACGCGTGCAGAAACACACGCGGACTGGCTGTTCACCAACAGCAGACAATGCGGATAACATGGCCACATACGTTTCTAAGCCTCAGAACGGTCTGCAGTGCTGTTTTATTAGGAAGCTTATGCCTTTATCTGGTATGCCAATATTATAGCATAACCTAGCATAGCTCATGCATTCAGACCGTACAAAATGCACGGCAAAAAGATGCTTCCAAAATAGGAACAGGAAGGTCTTGTGACATGTAACTTGCCAACACTGTGGCGACGAATTTATGCAACTCGTAGCGCGTTGTCTTCTTGAAGGTGGGGGGATAACCATAGAGCCATCGAAATAAATAAAAAATAAACGCCAAACGAACGACCTGGGAACCGTGGGCGAACCCAGCCGTGGTAATGGCGCCACCCTATGCTGCCCCAGCGACTGACCAGGCTCAGCAGTGCCCCCGCCCCTCCCCCCCCCCCCCCTATCGTCCGCAGTGGCAACCTCCTCCCTGCGGCCGCCGCCGCGCCCACCTTCTTGAAGCGGGGCGAGCAGGAGGAGAAGGCGGAGAAGGTGAGCGACTCCTCGGTGTCGTCGGTGTCGTCCTCCAGGTCGTGGTTGTACCGGTCGGCACGAGCTGCGGCGGACGGAGACCGGCTGTTACCACACACTCCAGGGTCGGCCGCGACGTCGGAGGGGCGCGGCGCCGCAAACGCTCACCGCCCCGTGATCACATGTAACGCAGCCCTGCCGCTCTTGTCCCCATTCAGCAGCGATGCCGTGGATTCTCAGCTATACCAATGCGTTTGTGTGACATTTGGCACCGCATCATGGAGTGACGAAAGTACGCGAATATCTTCAAAACATTTCCATTCACTTTGATGTTTTTTTTAAAGCAAAGAATGATGCGCACTACAGAAAGAATTAGCACAACTCACTGTCGAAATAGCTCGTGTCCTCGTCATTCTCCAACTGAGGAACAAACTCCACCTTCTGTCTCAACAGGTTTGTCCAGTCAAGATTTAGGAAAAATGTATGATCCTGGAACAACAAAACCGGTCAGATACAAACATTACACAACGCTTTTTCGATCAGCAAGATCCATCGTTGCAATACTTGTAGAAGAGAAAACTGAAGGAGTGATGCAAGCTCTTAGCGTACAGCCCAGAAAGATAGTTACCTTCAGACAGTTACTAGTTTGTTCGACCTGAAATGTGTCATTTGGGCTTAACGACGCACTCAACTACTGGGGCCATGAGGCGTCGCCCGCCTCTCACCCTGACGGTAAGGGCGAGCACCGCGGGGAATCAAACTCCGTGCCTCTGGTCTCCTAGACGTGCAGCTTAACCACTACGCCATCGGCACACCTGTTCGACCTCTACGTATCGCGCCAAAATATAAATACTCCACAAATGTGTGATCAGATTATGGGTTCATCGTGCCAATTACACCAATTACCGCGTCAGGGACCGGCTTGGAACACACCTTGACCTCCTGAGCACCACCAGTACCGAGCCGCTCCAGCGGATTCTGGTGCAGAAGCAGCGTGATCAAGTCCTTGGCTTCTGGTAAAACTTGGAAATCTTCATCACTAGGCCACTCGATATCATCTGAAACCATACGGTTGGTGCGCATGGCGTGACAGGGGCATGCTCATCTTAATGAACGACCGCCGACGCAGCTAGCGCCCAGAGCCGACAGCTTGTTCTAGCTCTCCCAACGTAAGCCGGCATGAAGACCTAAGGAGATAGCTAATGTCGCGCCCGACCGTAAGTACGAATCACACACTAGTGCTAAGCCATGCGGTAACCCCGCCCAAACGCGGCTGAAAGTGGAAGCACGCTCCCGGGCGCCGTTTGGGGCGCCTACCCCACGTGACGTGGCCGCCGGCCTGCCGCGGCGTATTCGTCTCCTTACCGTTGACAGTGTGCGCGAACAGCTCCTCGGGCGTGTCGCCGAAAAAGGGGACGCAGCCGACCAGGAACTCGTACAGGATGATGCCCATGCTCCACCAGTCGACGGGCTTGCCGTAGCCCTGGCGCAGGATCACCTCGGGCGCGATGTACTCGGGCGTGCCGAACACCTGCGGAGCAGAGCCGGCTCGCTGAGCCTCGACCCGCCGCCTGACACGGCGCCGCGCAGTCCCGCCACCTGACACAGCATCGCGCGGTCCTGCCGCCTGACACAGCAGCCGCGCGGTCCTGCCGCCTGACACGACACCGTGCGGTCCTGCCGCCTGACACGACACCGTGCGGTCCTGCCACCTAACACAGCATCGCGCGGTCCTGCCGCCTGACACGGCACCGTGCGGTCCTGCCGCCTGACACGGCACCGCGCGGCCCGGTCGCCTGACACGGCACCGGGCGGTCCCACCACCTGACACCCCGACACACCATCCCCGGACCCGAAGCCCCAGCCCACCTCCGCACTCCAAACACTGAACTGAGCACGACTATTCCGCTGCGCTGCTGGTATGGCGAATCCATCGAGATGGCGCAAAAGTCTAAGCCGCTTCGTTCAATCTCGTTCTTCTTCGTCACGACTGGCGTCCGGTCGGACCTGACGACCACGCCCGCGAAAGCTACCACACCACTATCTGTCGCTGACCTGCTTATCGGAGAACTGCCTGGTCTCCTTGTCAATGTAGCCCTCGTAGAGGTTGGTGGCGAGCGACATCAGGCCCATCTTGCTGAGGCCAAAGTCGGTCAGCTTGATGTGACCCATGGAGGTGATGAGTAGGTTGTCGGGCTTGAGGTCGCGGTGCACAATGCCGAAGCTGTGCAGGTACTCCACGGCCAGCACCGTCTCGGCGAAATAGAGCCGCGCCATGTCCGCCGGCAGGATACCGATGTTTTTCAGCAGGCTCGCGCAGTCGCCGCCCTCCACGTACTCCATCACCATACACATGTGTTTCTGGCGGAACGAGACCACCGCACGGTCAAACGACGCAGGGGCCGGGGAGCGGGGCGGGACACTGCGGTGTTCGTCAGGAAGTGGCTCTCAAGTCTGTCCTGGTGCGTGATGTCTGCCACTTCAGCACGTGTGGCAGCTCCTGACTGGCTGCCTGACCGCAAAGGAAGCAGGTCACGACGCACGCTGGACAGTCCTTGTCAAAACTTCCGGCCAGCCACCGTGCAGCTCCCCGGCATACGAAACCCTGAGCCGGGACACAGAGCCGGGCTGGACTGAGAATCAACGCAAGGGGAGCTAGAACACAGCCGCCAGCGGGACAGCTCCGGGCAGAAACAGACCGGAGCCGTCACCTCTCGACCTCTCGCGCCGCGCCCGCCCGTCACTAACCTTGGTCTCGAAGCTGCAGTACATGCTGACCACGAAGGGGTTGTCGGTGAAGCTCATGATGTCGCGCTCTGCGAACACCTGCTCCATCTGGTTGCGCAACACCACATTCTGCTTGCTGATGCGCTTGAGCGCGAAGCACTGCCGCGTGTCCTTCTGCCGCACCAGGTAGACAGCGCCGTACGCACCGTTCGAGATCAGCTTGACGCGGTCGTAGTCATCCTCGCAGGGCACCTGGGGACCGACAGGACACCGCACGGGTCAAGCGGCGCTGCACGTGCACGCCATACGCAGCTGTCGGGCGATGGCCAGGCAGCGACACGGACCGCACGCCACCGAGCGAGAGCCGCTCCGACTGCTGTTGTGCGGAGGCGTGGCCCGATCAGCTGGGACAGACGAGGAAATGCTGGTCACGGAGCGATCACTGGACACAGAGTGGTCACTGAGTACGGAGCGGCGACTGGCGACCGGGCCGGCAGTGATCGGGCGAGCCGGCACTGGCGGACGAGTGCGACCAGCTGCGGCCGGTCGGCGAGCCGGCACTGGCGGACGAGTGCGGCCAGCCGCCGCTGGTCGGCGTAACGCACCTTCTGACCCCGGCCCGGGCCACACTTGGGGTCCGCCTCCGACTTCTTGGGCGTGGACATTTGCGGCGGCGGCGTGGCGGCCGCCTCCATTTGTACTAGGTCCTGGGTGAGCTCTGCGGACAGACGGACGGGTCGCGGTGACTTCACGCGCAGATCCCGGCTCACACCGCCCGCCGCCGCGCCACAGCCCGACCACACACCCACGCACAGAAGGACAGCGGCCAGACGCACACACCACGCGGGACTGAGCCGCGCCGAGCACGGCCGCGGCGGAGCTGGGCTCGCTGTCGGCGTCACCGCTCCAGCGAGGGTCGGAGATCGCTTCACCCCGACCGACAGACGCCCGGCGTCGCCGCCAGCGTCACGGCGGACCACGGCGCCGGCCGGAGAGCGCCGGGACCGCCACGAGCGGCGAGGAGGACACGGGCGGGGCGCTCTCACCTGCCAGCGGGTCGCGCTTGAGGCCGAGCTTGCTGACGATGTACTGGGGGATGTCGGTGGTGATGCCCTGGCACGAGCGCGCCTGGCCCTCAGCCCGCTCCAGCAGGTGATAGAACTCCTCCGGGTCGAACTCGAGACACTCCAGCAGCCGCGCCGGCCGCGAGATGATCAGCAGCAGGCGTCGCACCAGAAACATCATCTGATGCGCCGCCTCCGCCGACTTCTCGCGCGTCTGCGGACACATCGCCGCGACGTCGCGTCAGGAGCGGGGCACTCGCGGCCGGCGACCACAGATCACCTGTCGCCCGGCGGCGCACAGGTACCCGACCTTTGGACTAACCGTCCCAGGCGGCCCTTCTTGTCAGGTGTTCACACCGTGACACAGCCGGACATTTAATATGAGCCGAACACAGGCGTTGCAGCAATAAGCCAGTGAAGCGACCAGGAAGCCAACGCTCCACCGCGGAAAAAACCGTTAGGCCTTTCAGCCTGAAAGCCCAGCCTAACCACAACCTTCACCGGTCCGTTTTGTGTTGCGATCAACAGGCTCAGACGATTTATCTGTCTAACACAGGGTGTCAACGACGCATGCATCGTATCCAACCAACCAAACACTGGTGCTACAAAAACAACCAGATCTGACTACAAGCACGGCACAATGGTCGCGGCTTCATCGTTAACGAACCGACCTCGTTGAGAAGCTTCTCCAGGTTTTCTGACAGCTCGTAGAAATATCGGCTAGTGATGCAGCGTTCCCGGGACTTGCTGAGACAATCACGAACCATCTCCATCACCTGCCGACACCAAATACTCTAAGTCTCCGGCTCACCATACAAGATGATATCAGGACAGCCGCTGGAAATCCTTTAGCTGCGCTGCTGGTGCTTTGTCCGACTCCTTGCTTTACGTCGATAAATCATGTATCTACTACTCGGATCCTCCACTTTCAACGAGCTAAGTCGCGACGTCGAACAAAGCGTGGCGATCAAGCAAGACCGAGCGCTGATTCAGACGTAAAGCCAAATACAATGCGAGGCGGTCTGTAAGATAACGCCCATTAGTCTGTTCCGAGAAAGGACGCTCAGCGTACGTCTACAGCATCTCAATGTACGGCATAAAGCCTCCCAGCCGACAGCACGAGGACGGACGACCGGCTGCTTCCCGGAGGGCAGCCTCCCAGCCGCCCGCACTGATCGATAAGGCAGTAACGCGTAGCGTGGAGAACGTGTGCGCAAACAGACCTATGATAAACGCCCACACTAAAAACCTAGATAATGTGTGTGTCCGTCCATAGCGTCCCATGAGTAGAAGCGAGAGTAGCGACCAGGTGGGGCTGCACCTCGGTACCGACAACGCTGACCACCCGAGCCGTGCCATATATCTTGGCCTGCCGGTCGCGCAGCCAGACCCACCGCCCAAGAAACAAGAGGCTCGTGCGGCCAGTGCGGGCCGACGCTGTCCGCCTCCGTAGGACGGCCGTGGGAGGTGCGCCGGCCGCCACTGGAGCGGGTGCGTCACGGTCCGACCGCTGCGCCGACAGCCGGCGGGTTCGCACCGCACGCCCGGCGCCGACGCGTCTCGACAGACGGGACGCGGCGACGGCGCTCTGTCCCGCGCCACGATGTTTACTCAACCACACGGGCGGCATGCGACGTCGGCTCGGTGGCGCCCGGCGCTCTCACAAACCTGCGCTGTTGCGCAGATCCGCCAGCCAGCCAGTCCGTCCGTCCGTCAGGTCAGGTCGGGTTAAGCCAGGTCAGACCAGATCAGACCAGATAGTCTCTCCTCTCCCCAACCCCTCACGTCCGGCCGACCGGCACCGGCCTGAGGTGATTTATCACATCCGCCCGGCCGTCAGGTCAGGTCAGGTCAGGTAATATCAAATCAGGTCAGGTCAGATCAGGTCACCCTCCCCAACCCCTCACGTCCGGCCGACAGCGCCGGCATGAAATGATTTATCACATCCGCCCGGCCGTCAGGTCAGGTCAGGTCAGGTAATATCAGATCAGGTCAGGTCAGATCAGGTCACCCTCCCCTCCCCAGCCCCTCACGTCCGGCCGACAGGCACCGGCCTAAGGTGATTAATCGCGTCCGCCCGGCCGGCCGTCAGGTCAGGTCAGGTCAGGTCAGTTAAGGTCACCCTCCCCTCCCCAGCCCCTCACGTCCAGCCGACAGGCGCCGGCCTGAGGTGATTAACCACGTCCGCCCGGCCGGCTGCAGGCGCTGCGCAGTTAGACATCGCGCGGCCGCCGTCGTGCCGACGCTTAACTTCCCAGCTCAAGTTAGCGCTAATCGAAGCACAAACAAACGGCTCCGGTCTCCAGCCCCGTACGTTTTCCTCTCCGGTCCGCAGAAGCATGCGTGCTAAAATATTTTGAGATCTTGAACGCATAGTGAATATTTAATTACGATCTTTTGCCGGATAAGAGCACTGCGTTTTGCTCCACACAAAATTCACCTCTGCCTCTACTTACGTGATATTCTTATTTACTGGCTGCCTTTACAAACAATCGTTGAACTCCAATGTGAAATGAATTATTGCTGACTCAGAACTGGCGACCATCGTCACGCCGTGAATCCGGATAGTTGAGATAAGTGAAAAATCGTGGGACACAGCGCGAAAATAGCAGGTGTTGGGCATGTTTTGCGATGTCTTTCCTCTTATTTTGGGACTGCATACAGGCCATCCGTTCCTGTTCTTCCGGCGTGCAGTACATCTTCATATCACAACAGGCTGTTTACGTGCCTAAGAAAATCCGACTAACCCACTCTGAGATAGCACACGAAATGAAAGTCTGAATTTGGGTCGGGGTAAAATTCAACTGTATAGGGCAAACAGCCACGCACCCATCATCTTTTTATGAGATGAGCGAGGCACCAGACAACTTTTAATACAGCCACGGATCTCAGCTCGTTTGCAAGTTTTATGCCGTGAACTTCCTCGAACCACAGCTATCTGGTGATTTATCGCAGCTCCGATGCTAACTCCCTCGCTCCCCCCTTCCACGGCTGAAGGATGATCTGGCTGGCAGCACTATCCAGTAATCCGACAGGGTCGATTTCCGGCGGCCCCGACGTGAGCCACGGTCCCGCTCCGGCTCGACCGCCGGTGTCCCGTCCACCGTCCCGTGAGAGTTGGGCGACGGCCCCCGGTCTGCGTCGTGGTCAGTGGCCGGCCGCGCCTGACGACATCGCGCCGCCGGCGCACGCACGAGATGGTGCAGCCGTGTCCGCGTGCGGCACCGCGGCCGCAACAAAGCAGGGCAGGGGGACACAAGTCCCGTGCCGTGACCGTGTCCACATGCCGGATGGTGTCGGCAGGCAAGCTGGACAGGCGGGACACGAACCGGATGTCGGGGCCGTGCCCTCCGCCGGACCTTATTTCGGAGCCGATGGCGGGAGCGGGACACACACACACACACCTGGCACCGCAGCCGTGTCCGTCCGTGGGAACGCGCCTGAAGCGCGCGCCGCAGCGCGGTGTGGCTGTACGTGACTGACCTGGTGACGCACGAAGCGCACGATAGCCACGGCTGACGGCGACGTATCGTCCGGCACGGCGTCCGAGGGTCTCCTGCCTCCTCCAGCAGCTTCTGTAGCCGGTCCTCCATCTGCTGCGGTCGCCTGCGGCCGCGCCCGGGGTCACGACGGTGATACGGCACAGAGCGCGGCGATGGTCTCAGGGTACGGTCGCGGCGTAGCGCACAGCATAGCGGTGAGGTCACGGCGCAGGGCACAGCACGGCGGTGGGGTCATGGCGCAGGGCACGGCGCGGCGGTGAGGTCACGGCGCAGTGCTCGGCGCAGCGGTGGGGTCATGACGCGGGGCACGACACAGCGGTGAGGTCGTGATGGAGGCGGCCGATGACGCCACGGAACCTGCTCCAGATTCGGAAAGTTTGTCGCGGGCAGTGGTCCCGGATCGTACAATAATAATAATAGCCTCGGGCCATTGCTTAACTCAAAAGCAGCCAGGGAAGGCACTGGCCTACCTTGGAAACCGCTCCTTGTAAAGAGTATTCATGATGACGACGTCATTGTCCACCAGGCGGCGTTCTCATGGGAGAACTGAAACAGAGCGGTGTCGGACATCAGTAACGGGGCGTGGCTCGCCGACCTCACAGCTGCGGTAAAACCCGGCACCGATATACACCTGTGTGAGACGAGGCAACGGCATACCACATTTACGCCGAGAGCAACTCGGCTCAACGACGAAGAGGAAAGCATCGTTCACAACCGGACATCCCGGACGCTATGGGAGCAAATGGGATGAAGTATCGACATAGTTATAAGCACGATCGACTAGAGAAATCCCCAGACCGATTTGATTGAGATTCTGGCGGGACCTGTGAGGCGACCATATGCTCCAATCGTAGCGTTTAGTAAGCATGGCAACACGGAACGAATCAGTTCTAAAACATACAAACCAATATCAAAGTTGATATGACGACAGAGCAGTTCTAATAAACGCAGACAGCGATTGCGTACGTCGCCGCCGAGAGGCCGACCCTAATCTAGCTGACTAGCTACACGTGAATAGTTCGGGAGACAATCCCGAATGGCGAACTGCGACCCATGCGGCCTACTACAAACCTCGACCGAGTGGTGGGAGATTTACAATATGGGCGAGGGACCTGGGAGCTAGGGCATATATACCTATACCTTATACCTATACAGCATAAACAGACAGGTAGTGATATGACAAATGGGGGACAAAGTGACAAGTCGAGGAAAACAGATACCAAATGAAGGAAGGCAAACACGGCAAAGAGGCGAGGACAGAGCGAAAGACAGCGGCAAAAAGGACAGAGCGAAAGACAGTGACAAAAAGGACAGAACGAAATGTCATGTCATTGGGGCTTTGTGACGCACTCAACTGCTGAGGCTATATGGCGTCGCCTGCCTCTCACCCTGGCAGGAAGGGCGGGCACCGCGGGCAATCGAGCCCCGTACCTCTGGTTTCCCAGACGTGCAGTGGCTATCGCAGACGCGTTAACCACTACACTGCCAACACCCCAGGACAGAGCGAAAGACAGCGACAAAGGGTGGGAGGGGATGTGATCGACGGCGCGGGAGGGGATGGGATCGTGCAGAGCCCGCATGTGCATCCCCAGCCGTCGGCAGAGTGTGAGCAGTAATGCGCGGCACGGGCTGCTCATTAGCAGCGCGACGCCGACGTCACGGCACTGGTGCCGAGCACGACACAGCCTTCCGGCAACTGCCACCCGACCCGGCAGCGCCGCACCGCCGCTCCCACATGTCACGGCTCCTTTGTCTCGAGCTCGCCTTCCTCTCACACCGCTTGTGAAGTCCTTTGTTCGCAGGCTCAGCAGCTTAGAGGCATTTCATTACAGCACATTTAATCCCACCAGCTGGTCGCAATTACGGGCCGATGGCGTCTCGCCAGCGAGGTGAGGGGAGGGGTGAACAGCGGTGGTCGCTGCGACGCGCCAGTCGCCGGTGTCGGCCGCTCGAGACTAAGGCTCGCGGGACGTCCGGCAGCCGCCCCGCGAGCCGATCGAAGTCGGTTGCAGACAGAACGTCTGGCGCGTCGCGAGGGATTCGCAGACGGGGCCCACATAGACGCGGCGTGCATGGCGATAAGCCGGCTGGCCGTGCTCGGTCAGAGGGTCTTGTCGAGTCAGCTGGCCTCGCTCGGTCAGAGCGTCTTGCCGGGCTGGCTGGCTGTGCTCCATCAAAGGATATTGTCGAGCCGGCTGGCTGCGCTCAGTCAGAGGGTCTTGTCGGTCCGGCTGGCCGCGCTCGGTCAGAGCGTCCTGACGCGCTCGCCCGGCAGGTACCGACGGCAGTCTGAGCCAAACCCCGACTGAGCTGGCAGGCTATCCCGCAACGGCAACACTGCGCTGCGCTGTGTTCAGAATGCATCTATCTCGCCAGTGGTGAGAGCAAAGCGACGCGGCAGTCTTCCAAAGAATGGGTCTGGCAACGAAAACACACGGGCTGGGATGAAAGGATGACAGAAAAAGGATCGACGTTTTAAACACGAAAGATACCGTGCTGAGAGACCCACCAGCTGGGCGCCACGATTAAAACGCTTTCAAAAGCGATGACGACTGCGGCAAGCTGAAGAGGAAGGAGGGACACGGTAGGTGGAGACGGTCGTGGCCAGGAGGGACAACAGTGGGCAGTAGACACAACGGAGGGCAGGTGACAGCCGCGGGCAGGAGAGACAACAGTGGGCAAGAGATAACCATGGGCAGGAGAGACTATGGTGGACAGGAGATAGCCGTGGGCAGGAGAGACAACAGTAAGCAGGAGACAGCCGTGGGCAGGAGAGACAACAACGGGCAGGAGACAACAGTGGGCAGAGGACAGGCGTCGGCGGGAGAGACAACGGTGGCAGAAGGACAGCCGTGGGCAGGAGAGACAGCCGTGGGCAAGAGAGACAGCAGTGGGCAGGAGAGACGACAGTGGCAGAAGGCTGAGATATTTCGCAGCGCCGCGATTTGATTTAGCCCCAGGCCAGCCCCGTCTCCCGTCGGCGCAGCAGAACGCCGGAGTAGCATAAGGCGCCAGCGCTAGCCAGCCGCCCGACAATCCTCGCCAGGCCACGTGCACCCACACAGACACAGGAGCGAGACTGAGAGAGACGGAGAGCGGCAGAGAGCGAGCGAGCGAGCGATGTGGAACCGCGAGAAGGCTGACAGTGGCTTACTCCAAGGTGGCAATGCACAGCCAGGCCAGACTGTGGACGAGGGAGCCGGCAGCAGGCAGACAGGCGCGCTCGTTAGTCGGCCGCCGAGGCGAACACACAGCCCGGTCACTCCCGGCACCCAGCAGTCCTGACGGCCCGGCGACCCACCATCCCAGCAATCCTGACCCCCGGCAGACCCACCATCCCAGCAATCCTGACGCCCGACAGACCCACCATCCCAGCAGTCCCTGACGCCCGACAGACCCGCCATCCCAGCAGTCCTGACGCCCCGACAGACCCGCCATCCAGCAGTCCTGACCCCCGGCAGACCCACCATCCCAGCAGTCCCTGACGCCCGGCAGACCCACCATCCCAGCAGACAGCACATCCGGACACCCCTCACTTCCGTCACATTCTGACGTCCGCCAGTCCCACCACCAGCCGTAACCATTCCCGTCAGCCGCCAATTTGGCCACCAATCAGTTCCGATATCCGTCAATTCCATCGGCCGTCCGCCCTGATCAAGTCGGCCCCATTTCCGAGTCATTATGCGCCTGGTTATCGCCTGGCCCTGGCACGTTGCCAGACCTACACGGGCACGCTTGACCTAAAATGTGATTTTAACCGGCACAGCGCGACCACGGCCGGCGGTCGCTTGGGCAGAAAGCGGAACCGCGTCCTTCTCCAACGCCCAACAGTTTCCGAAGTACACAGGCCGAAATTGCTTTCAAGCCGCCAGATTCGGCACGTCGGCATATGTGACGTCACTAGCGGCAGCGACGACAAAGTTGCCACGGAGCGCTGTCAGCGGGCGCCGATATCCAGCCCGTTCAGCAGATAACCCCCAAAAGTTAGACACGTCCCGTCACAGTCCTGGCACACCGCCTACAACATCCCCGTATCATACGTGGTCGTTTCCAAGGCGGTTAACAAAAACATCCTTGCGCTTCGAGTCAGGCTCGATAAGCGCAGCGACCACCGGCCGTGCGGGGAATACGTCACAACTAGAATATACGAGGCACGTCACCAGACAATGATGGTTCGTATTGTGCGCCGCCCCTATGATCTGCCGACCTAATCCCAGCAGTCCGTGCGAAACGCGTGTACGTATGCAGCTACGCTTTGGTAGCTGCGCCAGCAGGCACTTGGAAAATCGGAATGGTGAATGAAACCACGCAAGCACGAAAATGTAATTGGAAAATTAGCCTCCCACTTGCGCAATACCACACCTTTCATAATTTGCCTACATTTTCACTTCTTTTGGATAAAACGTAAGATATACTATCTTCAGTGATCCAGACCTTGTCTCGCTAAGCCTTGTATATCGTTAAAGGGTGCGATGCCGGTACCAAAATAAACGCAATCGTTAATATATTCATTCTGCGAGGCAGCATGCCCTCTGCACATCCACTACCTATGCACGGGACGGTGTCCTAACTTAAGCGCTACCAAGGCCAACGGCGCTACATGCAGTTTAATCTTCAACGCAAAACGTGTCTGTAGCTGGCGGACAAAACCAGTATTCTAGCCGCCCGCAGTTGGTGATGAGAGTAATGCGTTTGAGCACACGGAAGATGTGCAAAGGCGGTGGCTGGAGAACGGTGCCAGTTTCTTCCCTATGATAAAATCTCGCGATACATAAACCATGAGATGCATATCGGCAGCCCTTCGTTGTCGTTCCCAACCAAGGCCTTCGCAGTGAGTCAGCCGAACGGCAATATATCGGTGGCAGAGCAGACACTTCCGCTGGAATCACTTAGCCTGAGTACGCAGGCCTTTCCGGGCGAAATCCCAACAGCCGCGTCCAATCTTGTTTGTACGGAAGTTCCAAAAACGAATGGCCAAAATGCTTAACGCAACCTTTGTTTTGCGAGAAGTTTCGGACGAAAAGCAGGCGCACACCGCCCCGCCTGGCTCCCACCATCCCCGATCAATACAGAAGAACAAGCCGGTCACGAGGGCGCAGCTCTCTGGCTTCCCACCCGGTCAGCGCACGGCCGCCGGCGGCCTCAATCGCCAGAGGGCAAGGTCAGGGGACGCGCGCCAGCGGAGCCCAGCGCCGGCCCCGGCCCCAGCCGCACGCGATGACGCAACCGAACCAAACCGGCCGGGGCCCGATCACACGGCCGACAGGTTCACACGACGGACGAGGCCAGGACCAACTAAGTGACGTTACAAGCGCGGCGAATCTCCGAGACGGGCGCAGCGGTGTCAACAAGGGTCAGAGGTCCCAAAATAGCGCAATGATGTCGACAGGGGTCATGGACGGGGGACACCAACCATCGTCCTCTGACAGTTGTTTGCATGGTTGCACAAACAAAATATAACCAATCACCGCGCGAAATGACCTCAGCGCAAACGAGCCGGCTTTCCGTTTCCAAACAATCAAGACCTATGAAACACGCACACACACACGCACACGCACACGCACACGCACACGCACACACGCTTCCGCCGGCAGTGTCTGCGCCGCGCGCCGCTCCTTTGAGCGCAAAGTAACGATTGCCCTGGACGCCAAGCGACAACGGTGCCTTGCCTGCCAGTGCTATGCAGTCAACTTTGCTCTCTCCTTCATCGCCGATGCCTCTGTTAGGTGCTCAAAATCTATTCAGAGTTTCCAAAAATAATGATTTTTAATGATATCATCATCAGGTTAATAATTCAAAGCGATCACAAGCTCGAACGGCTGCCCGCAAGCTGATACTGGCAGCGGGACATCACACCGCGGCGCGAGGGTAATGCCACCGCTCCGTATATACGTGAAGGTCTGCTGACACACGTGACCGGCAGCTGCTCACACACGGTCCGCCGGGCAGCGGAGGCTGAGTGTTTGACCCATACATCCTCACTACAATCAAACAAAACACACAGAGCTAATCTCCTATCCTGCCCCGCGTCCTGCGCCTTGCCCGCTCGAAAACAAGACGCGCTAAGCACGCAGTCGTTCCACGTCCACCGACCGCACGGGCGCCTACAGGGGCGTGTCTACAGAGCGTGGGTGGTGGGCGCCGGGCGGACGGCAGGCGGTGCTCACCTGAGCGAGCGCGAGCGCGGCCGCACCAGCGGCGAGCAGCGCCCCTCCTCGTCCAGGCTGGGGTTGGACTCGTTGGAGGAGAAGTGGCGCGGCAGCTCGGCGGCGGCGGCGGCCGGCGGACCGCAGCACTGCAGCTGGTGCAGCCGCTCCTGGGACGAGCACTGCGACTGGCGGCGCGACGGCGGTCAGGTCAGGTCAGGTCAGGTCAGGTCAGGTCAGGTCAGGTCAAATCACAGACCGCCAGACATGGGGCGTGCTCAACCGACGGGGCAGCACGTCATGGCTATACTAAGTCGCAGACTTGTTCCGTTGCGCAGGAAACACAGGAACATGGCAAACTTCCAGGCATGTAACGGAAGCAAACGGCTTGTCCAGCCCCGGCAAGCAGGACGTGACCATACAAACACAGAGCATCAGAGGCGGTCACCATTGTGTGGTCTGGGGCATGGCGCCACTCAAGCCAGCGCAGAACCACTCACCGAGACGTTGGAACTGCCCGGAGTGTGCCGTAGCCGGAGGAGGGTAGCGACGCCACCGACCACCTTCGACCGTCCACCGTCCTGCCGGCACACGCCGCGGCGGGTCAAGCTAGGTCAAACGGGGCGACATCAGACGGCCAGCTAGATGGTGCGTAGGGTAGCGGCGACCAATAGTGACGAGCGCTGCGTCCTATTACGTGGATGGGCAAAGCCACCCAAGCACGGACTGAGATAGTCTCCGAACGATTCACATTCCGTAGTGAGAGCCTGCCAGGTCTGAATTTTCAATACGCAAAGGGTCTCATTTAGAAATAAGAACCCGCTTTCATTAGGATACAAAAATCTGATCCAATCAATCACTAGCTCCAAGTATCTCATGTCATGAGATCCATCGCTGAATAGCAAAATAGCACCGTAGAGTTTCGTTCACCAAGCATGCATACCACGGGAACGAGCCGTTCACCTTCACCCCACAAACAGGGTGCAGGAATCTATAGTGTTGAAAATGATGAACTCACCAAAGTTTTATTAAGACGCACCGAAATGACACTTCCCAAACGGAACCTTGACACATATCAACGAGCTTTGCGTACATTAAGCGCCCTCCGAACGCCTCGGGAAGGTACATCCGGAAGCCACTGTATCGGTTCAGCGTCTCGTCGGCGGCTGCTCAGCGACGAGCGTCGGCTGCCGCGCCTCCCAGACCCGCATCGGTCCTCGGCGCGTACTCAGCGGCCTCCTCGGCGTACAGCACCGCCCGCGCGCCCGGCCTTGGCCCGCTCGCCGGCCAGGAAATGAAGAGCGCACCAGACCGACCCCACCGAAGCTCGGGGAAGCGGGCCAGCCACGCCGCGGGCGGCAGCGGCGACCCCGAAACGCCAGAGCTTTGCCCATCTGCTGGGTGGTGAGTGGGCGTGCACACGCGGTGTGTGGTGCCAGAAAGACGACCAGACCCGTCACCACTGCAGAGTTCAGGATGTTGTACGAGCCAGATCCGACTAGAAGTATGTGCCAAATACTATAGAGGGTACAATACGTTTCAAACTGTAGCATAATGCCCTCCATTCATGCTGCAATGCGAAATAACAGAAATAATAGACGTACATAAAGACAGTTCTATCGCATGTGTCTATACAACGCTTTTGCTCCGACACTAGTGGCTATTTCTCCTGCCTGGGAAGTACAACACGTATCACGTTCATGATCCATTCTCCTCCTCCAAAATACCGACTTAATTACTGCTTCGCCAAGATCTTTTACAATTTTGATCCGTCTTATCATCCGACACATGCACGAAAAGTTGAAGAACGCACCACAAACTGGGCGGCCAACATCTGCCGCGGATGTAATTTTTTCGCGCTCACGTCGGCCTATTGATTTGGCCTACGCCGCACATCCGGCGAGGCGCGGCGCTTGTCTGACCAAGCAGGGCCGCAAACACTTCCAAACCCGACCAATACTGCGATCCCGAACGATCAGAAGCTGGATGGAGATTGCGGGTCGGCGGACATCCGCCATCTCCATCAGGAGATGGGCGCGGGCCGAGCTATACATCATCCGCCGGCCGCTGAGTCGGCGTCGGCGTCGGCGGCGCGTGCGGAGCCGGCCAGCCGTAAGGCGGCGCCCGGCGGCGCCAGCCTGCCGGGGTCGGGTCAGCCGGTCCGCCAGAGCCGCGGGACGACGGCGGCCCGCCCCGCAGCGGCGTCACAACCCATATGGCGAGGCCGGGCCGGAAACGGACGATCGATCCGCCACGGGCGCAGGTCCGATCGGGCCGTATCGCGCCGCCTGGCCGGGCTCCAGCTGCCGGAACGCTCCCCTGCCGCACCGCACCGCGCCTCCTCACAGCGCTACGGTGCACGGCTGTAGCCGGCGGCAGCGGCTCAAAACGAGCCATGAAACATTTACCGAGGGCGCGCTAACGTGTACACCACGCGCAGGGTACCGGCGGCGGCTCGCAACACCACCGGCAGCGCGATAATGTGTACACCACACGCGGGGGTACCGGCGGTGGCTCGCAACACCACCGGCGGCGCGCTAACGTGTACACCACACGCAGGGTACCGGCGGCGGCTCGCAACACCACCGGCGGCGCGCTAACGTGTACACCACACGCAGGGTACCGGCGGCGGCTCGCAACACCACCGGCGGCGCTGGAAGCCCTCTCCGCTGGGGCGCACGTGACGCACGCAGCACCGACCGCGCCAAATACTCGGCATCAACGCGGAACGAGCCCAGCACCAGCACCGATTACACGGACGGCTTGGGCTATCAGCAAATGCCATTGGGGCATGGTCAGAACGCGACAAAAAAAGATGTAATGACAACACTGAAGGTGGCTACTCCAAATATACCTGGAACGACGCCAGAACATAGCATACTTGAGCCCATGCCAGCGCGGGACAAAAGAGCTTCGTGCAAGAATGGACTATTTCAAATATTCTTGAGATGATGCCAGCACACGACTACTCCCACCCAATAATGACGATGATAAATGCAAGAGCTAACTGCCCTCCAAATGTGCTTGGGATGGCGATGCACCGCCGCAAGAGGCACTAAATTATAACCGAGGGTACAAGTTCGTCTGACATTGGAGCCATCTCGAAAGTTCACCACACCGGCTGGCGGCATCTGCGGCCCAACAGCTCCTCGGCTCCGGGCTCGCGCACCAACGAATCTCAACTTCTATATGCAAGACGCTCAATTCACATGAAAGTTACTCGTGATGTTTGAAGTCACAGTCATTTGGCCGGGCAACCCCCCCCCCCCCACACTGTTAACTCTGGAGCTGGACTCCAGCGGCCGGGCCCAATGAATCCTGCCCCTCTCCCCCTCCCCCCCGTCCGCGCGCACGGCTGCCGTTCACCGAGGCCGCTCCAGGACGACCTCACCTCTTGACGGCGGCAAACGCGAAATGCTGATTGGGCGACATGTTCTTGGGGCTGTCCACGGGGCTGCCTGCGGGACAGAGGCGTGACGTCACGGCGGGCGGCGGCTGACGTCACCGGCCGGCGGCCCAGACGTCGGTGGGCGGGACGGGCGGCTGTGCGCCGCTGGCAACGCACCCGGCCGCGGCGGCGCTGCCAGCGGCGCGGCGGGGCGACGCGCGCAGACGTGGCCAGGCTGCAGGCGGGCGGTGGGTAACAGCGGGCGTGCGCCGCACTAAAAACAAGCGCGCTGTCCATTAACTGGAAATGGACGACGCACGACACTTTAAACGGGTTACAACAGCCCACGCTAGTCGCAACAGTGGAGCACACGAAAACAAAGACGAGCGAAGTGGTAAAAGACTCAAACGAGGGAGGTAAAGAGAACAAATGGGAGGGACAAGCGAGAATAAGAGGACAGATGGGAGATAAGAAAACAGAGAGGGCCGAGTGGAAGCAGGAAAGGCGGATACGGAGAGGACAGACGTCAGACGGAGACAGAGACGGAAAAAGAGAGAGGCTGATGGGAGACAGCACGACGGCGCGAGGGAGGCAGGAAGCCAGGCGGAGAGGGACACGCACCTGGCATGGGCGAGTGGCACCGCGGCAGCGTCGGTGACGATGTGACGATGACGGAGCGACGCTGGCCCGACCGCGACGACCGCTTGCTGATGTTCAGCTCCTTCTGCAACACACGGTCGGAGGGCGCCATCAGGCGGCGGCCGCGCCACACCGAACCGACGCGGACCGGAGCAGCACACAGCGGCGTCGACTTCGACGGCCGACCGCGGCGGAGTCGGACCGTTGACCGGGCGGTGACGTCCCGGTCCCGCCGACCTGCCGGTCCGTCCCTCCGCCCCCCGCGCCGCCACCAAAACAAGGCCGTCTGTCACCCGGCAGACGCACGCCGCGCCGCGCTCCTCCAATTGGCGCCCGCCGCGTGACGTCACCGGGCCGTACGGTAGATATCATAAACAAACGGAAGGCGGCGGCGAGCAGCGCGTCACACGCACGGCGTCGGGTCGGACGCCGCCCAGGTCACCGAGGCGCCGGGCACGCAGGTCGGTTGACAACGCCCACGGGCCGAAGCGCGAACACCGGCGGCGGATGGCATGTCGCTTCCGTCGCGACGCCGCTAGGGGAACACACACGTTTGACCCAACGGCCTACCGGGACTGGGTGTCTTGCGCGGGCGGGTAGGGTGTCGGGCAGGACGCGTTAGGCTGCGGACGCTGCTCCAAAACGCGAAGGGAGCATCTAGTCGGTACACTTTTTAACAGGGCTGGACTGGGTAACGAGTCGTGCACACAGCTTGAACACCGCTGCGGCCGACGAGCTCGCGCTGAAAGGTCAGAACACTCTGTACCCCCGCGTAACGCATGAAAACGAAGCGTGAGTGACATACAGCTGCGTCAGAAAATGTTGTTAGTAAAAACAATATTATACACGCAGTAGCAGTTCACTTTCAATGACAAAATACACATGGTCACCAACCCAAGGCAAATATGACCAGTTTGTGACCGTCGTAAGGCAAACCATCAATACATATCCATTAGCTCGCAATGACATAGCGTTAACGTGCGTCCTTGCGGATGAATTAGGGCAGGGCACCAGGCATCTGGACCGGCCAGAATGTTGACCTGAAGTCAGTCACGCGGACGTGACCTGTCACGACCTGACGCGACCAGGTCGCTCACCGGTGCCACCACACCTGGCATTTGTCCACACCTTGCTTCACTCGTGCAGAGGGTCTCTAACATTCTTAGTTGAACTAGAACAAAGCTAACTGGAAAAGAGGCAAAATAATCCGTCCGCCTTCACGTGGGCATGAGAACAGAGGGGGCTGCGTGCCGGCTACCACACCACTACACCGGCAGGGCGGGGCACGACCGGAGGGGGGCTGCGTGCCGGGTACCACACCACTACACGGCAGGGCGGGCACGGCCGGAGGGGGCTGCGTGCCCGGCACCACACCACTACACAGCAGGGCTGGCACGGCCGGAGGGGGCTGCGTGCCCGGCACCATACCACTACACGGCAGGGGGCAGCAGGCACGGCAGGCGGGCACGGCCGGAGGGGGCTGCGTGTCCGGCACCACACCACTACACGGCAGGGGCAGCAGGCACGGCAGGGCGAGCACGGCCGGGGCTGCGTGCCCGGCACCACACCACTACACGGCAGGGGGCAGCAGGCACGGCAGGGCGGGCACGTCCGGAGCTTCGTGCCGGGTACCACACCACTACACGGCAGGGGCAGCAGGCACGGCAGGGCGGGCACGGCCGGAGCGGCGTGCGGGGGTACCACACCACTACACGGCAGGGGGCAGCAGGCACGGCAGGGCGGGCACGGCCGGAGCTGCGTGCGGGGTACCACACCCACTACACGGCAGGGGCAGCAGGCACGGCAGGGGCGGGCACGGCCGAAAGGGGCGGCAAGCAGCCAGGCTCATGTTTCGCCCGCAACCAATGCAAACACCAAGGGAGGGAGAAGTCCGAATACACCTTGTCGGCAGGACCGAATGCACCTGTCGTACGCGTCAGTGAATCCTCGAGACGCTGGCCTCAAGAGCTGTACCATTACCAGCCACCATAATCATCTGTCTCTATGGCACCCCTAGCATGACATGCCAGGCCATGGCAAATGTCAGCGGTCGCATTTGTAAATAATTCACGATTGGATCATTTGTATCTGGCGGTAGGGACGGCTTATGTTGTCATAAACGGAGCTTCAACCAAAAAGTCCGGGACGCAATGGGCTTTGAGAGTCCATTTTTCCATGAAACGCCATGGACCTCACGTTATTCCCCGAAATGTCAGAGCAAATTGACGACCCGTCATAACCGACCTAGAGTGCTCGTGGCGGCCTACCATACCCGATCCATGGGTCCGTGGCGGCCCACCATATACGACCCATGAGGTCCGTGACGGCCTACCACACACGACCCCATGAGTCCGTGACGGCCCACCCTACACGACCTATGAGGCTCGTGACCGGCCACCATACACGACCCTATGAGGTCCGTGACCAGCCCACCACACACGACCCATGAGATCCGTGGCGGCCCACCATACACGACCATGAGGTCCGTGACGGCCCACCACACACGACTCATGAGGTCCGTGACGGCCCACCATACACGACCCATGAGATCCGTGACGGCCCACCAACACGACCCATGAGGTCCGTGACGGCCCACCACACACGACCCATGAGGTCCGTGACGGCCCACCATACACGACCCATGGATCCGTGACGGCCCACCATACACGACCTATGAGGTCCGTGACGGCCCACCATACACGACCTATGAGGTCCGTGACGGCCCACCATACACGACCTATGAGGTCCGTGACGGCCCACCATACACGACCTATGAGGTCCGTGACGGCCCACCACACACGACCTATGAGGTCCGTGACGGCCCACCATACACGACCATGGTGCTCGTGACGGCTCACCATACTCGACCCATGAGGTCCGTGACAGTCAGTCATAAGGCCCGACCCAAAATGTCCGGACAGCAGCCAGACCCGACCCACAGCGCCCGAGCAGCCGTTAAGCACCACCCTTGGCGTCCGTGACAGCCGCCAGGCCTGACCGAGGTGCCTTTACAGTCCGCCGGAGCCGGCCCAGACCTGACACGCCATGCGTGCCGCCGGAGCAGGCTGGCCCCGACTTCGCCGGACACGCACACCAACAAGCCGACCTAACACGACCTCTGCCGGCCGCGAACCGTCCAGCCGGCGGCCTGAGACGCGGCGGACGATCCCCCGGCTCTGCGGAGCTGATCGCCAGCGTCGACCCCTCTTCAACAGAGGACGGCCCATGTGGCAGACACGGCAGTCTTTCCCGGGGCAGATCCACAATCTCTGTCAGTTCGCTTAGAGCCTATCGCCCTCCGCCCTTCCTTGGAAAGACATCACATGTAATGCACCCATTTTACTCCTAGCAAAACGGCCAGAACGTTCATGTCTGCTCCACTCCAACACCTGAACGCTCAGATCTCTGCAAGCCTCTCAAACAATGACCGGCGTTGTCTTGCTATCTCTCTTGACCATGGCTCTGTGGCCCCCAACATTCCCTGCAGACGGGCCACAAGAACGCAAGTCATCGCATTATTCGATGCACCGTCCGCATGACTCATCGCTCCATTTACAGACACCCACACCGGGGAAGCTCACATGATTCAGATGTTGGAAAATCTCCAACAAGCCTGCTTTTCACACAACTGATTAAAAGTACGGCATCTGTACTAAGTCGCAGTGGATTTGGAGGCTTTCATTCCACATGCCACCCACGCAACCGTCTACAATTGGCTACCGAGTCGCTAAACAAGTCAACGGATCGAAGACCCCAGGAGCAAACCGTCACCCTGACTCCACGGCACACAACCCACTTAACACATCTAACACACGCATCTAACACCAACTCCTGACGCCACCTAGCCTACCCTAGTCCCCTAAGGGTACAGGCGCCACAACACATCACCACTATCGCCGCGGTCTGTCGGCAGCTAGCGGAGTCGGTATCCGTGCTGAAGCGGGCGGGGCACGCTGGGGACGCGCCGCGCCTGTGGCCGGGGCCCGCGGCGGCGGCAGCGGCGGCTGCGGCGGCTGCGGCGGCGGCCCACCTACCTGCAGCTGCATGGAGGCCAGCGGCAGCGAGAGGGGGTCGCTGGCGGCGGCCACCCGAGTCCGCTGACCGAGCGCGACATGGCGCGCCGCACCACGGCCAGCTCGGCGGCCGGCAGCGCCGCCTCCGCCGCTCCCGGCATCACCTGGCACGACACACGCACAGGCCCGACCGCCCCGTCACCAGCCAGTCCTCCTCCGGCAACCGGTCCGGTCCACCACCCCGCCCTGGCCGTGGCCCTGCCCTGCCCCGCCCTGCCCTGTCCTGCCCTGCCCTTCCATGCCCTGCCCTGTCCCGCTCTGCCCTGCCCTGCCCTGCCCTGTCCCGCTCTGTTGCCCTGTCCCATCCCGTCTCGCCCAGATCCACTCGGCGCAGGCCAGCTCAGGTCAGGTCGGCCTCGCTCGGGACAGGACCCAAGCACACTGTTATGTGCGATTGACGGCTTTCCTTGAACCATCACGTCCGATCGACGCGTCCGTAGTTGTTCGCAGTCTCGTTGCGTCACCAGTGCTGTTTTGTTTCAGTTGCATCAGCGGTTGCCCACAGGCGGTCCAGCGGATCATCGAGACGTGTAATCGGGGAAGCGCGAGGACGTAAGCTCTCCACTTCCTCAACAGTTTGGCTTAAGGCAGGGGGAAATCCGATCGGTCGCCGTGTACCGTATCCCACGAACCAGTCGGCCTCTCTCCCCCTATCTCTCTCTCTCTCTCGGGCGGGCCCACGGTCGGCGTCAGCTAGCCTCCGCCGGGCCGCGGGACGGCCGTGCTGAGGAAGCACACCGCCCGGCCGACCACCACAGGGGCGGCGTACATGGGCGAGGCCGCACTGGGGACGGCGACAACACGGCCCCACGGCATCTCGTCGGGACGCTGCGGCGGCCCTGCAGCGTGGCACATGCTTCAGATGCACGTCACTACAATCGCAATGTCGCCATTATTCCGCACTTCACCCAGCGCTCCGTGTTCACTTTTAGCCGTATAAACTACTGAACGTGGTTCGTCCCAATGAAGTTCAAATGATACCACTTCCGGTCACAGATAAAACGCAATGGCG